ATGTGTGGCTCCGCCCACTACAGACCACAGAAATCACAGCACGGTTTTGGCTGAGAATTCAATTACCTCAGTTTAGCTGGAAATATTAAGTTAGTATAATTAATCAATGGTATCAGGGAACTGATAATTGCATTACTGGCTAAACAAAAGGGAGCGAAATTAACCAGAACAGGGTGCAGAGAGGGCACTCCTCCCTACCCCTTCACAATAGAACATTTTGTCTTTGGGAGCACGGTGCTGATCGAAAGGATCCTCTGTGTGACGCCTAAAGTGACGTACGGAATTGCTCATGTGGGTCTGGAGCGTCACAAAGTGATCAAAGCGTGGTGCGGGGTACACCAACATGCAGTTGGAACCAAATTTAACATCTCAGAATTCGTTTCACACCTCTCATTTCATAACCCTTCTTAAAAACAGAACACAGCTCAATACCAGCTAGTCAAGCAGGAGGTGCAGTCTAACTGCAGTACATGAAGTATTCAGACAGGTGAATCTAAACAAAAATAGTTCTTGACCACTGGGCAGTTTACGCTTAATCGCTGTTAGTGGTTCAATTAAACAAGGGATGGTACGCGACAAATACAGAGTAACTCATTAAAGCATTTCTCATGAAAAATGCGTCAAGGTTAAGTCCTCATGCTTATTTGACGCTGCTGTCATACAGAGACGAATGGGATCTGCCTGCTGCCTTCAGTCGTGACATTCCCAGCCAAAGTAAGTAATTACTGACCAGCTATGACAAACAATACTGCAGCTTAACGATTGTACGCTTGTGTTTACTTGTGTAGGTCAACATGCTACGTAACAATAGATCAACTATAACTCCATGTAGCAGATCAAGTGGCCAAAATGCTACATTTAATTCAGTTGTCCTACAGCAATGATCCATCCATTTTCTGTAACTGCTTATCCAATACAGGGATGCAGGGGGTCTGGAACCTATCCTGGAAGCTACAGGTGCAAGGCAGGGAACAGCCCAGGATGGGGGGGGGGGCACCCATTGCAGGGGACACTGACACATGCACAATTTGGCTACTCCAATTAACCACAGCAGGTTTTTGTGTGGAGGGAAACTAGAGTACCTAGAAGAAACCCCATGACAACAGGGGGGAGGACATGCAAACTGCACAAATATGGAGCCATACCAGACATTCAAACCCTGGGTCCACATTGCTGACCACTATACCATCCAGCCACCCCTATGGCAACTATTGTTATTATTGTTGTTCACTCTCAGACTGATCGCTATTAAAACCTGAATATCAGCACATCGGCTATATAGTAAAACTCTGGAATCAAAAGTCACTCGTGAAGCTGAATAGCACAGGTCTCCTGAAAGGAACACATATATTACTGTATTCTGTCACACGGGGTTAATCATACCAATTATTTCTGCAAGCATTTAGGAGCTCCATTTATGAGCGCCCTCACACTCCGATTGACCATACACCAGCCCACCCAAACACACAAAGTCCATAATTACACTTCAGAGAAGCCAGAGCAAATTATTAGTCAGATATATTGGAGGTTAATTGCCGGTGGAGCAGAGAGGCCTGCCTTGTTCTCCATGTCTGTCTGTACCTGAGCACCTGAGCACGCCCTGCACATTTCCAGTTTTTAGTCCTCCATACTTCCTCAACAGGGAGGGAGGGGGCACACAGGCACAATGTCACACTCAGGGCCGGCTCTAACTTTCCAAGGACCCCAGGCAAAGCTTTACTTGGGAGGCCCCTCCACCAAGAAAACTTGGGGGGGGGGCGGTTGTAGGCAACTGCCTATTCTGCCTTTAGAGAGAAGCCAGTCCTGGTTTTCACTACAGCAAAGATGGCAAAACTCTGCCTGCTGAAAGAACCAGAAACCAGCCGATTCAGCAGCTCGCACGCAAACCTCCATAGCAACTGTCGCCGTACGTCACTGCCACAGACCTCAACTCAGATGTGGGATCAATATTTTACTTAAATTTAAGATCAATTGTGTCATAAAAACCATTTTAATGATTATACCGATTAGCGCATTTATAGTCAGTCTGCAGTACATGTTTGGGAGAATCTACTTTTGTCTGGTGGCCTAAGAACACGAGTATTTCACTAATACTATCACTGCTGCTACTAAAACTAATAATCGATTCAGTATCTAATACAGAGTCGTGGCGGAGGAGGCTGGAGTCTGTCCCAGGCAGCGCAGACTGCGAGGCAGGGGACCATCCTGAACGGCATGCTAGCTAAAGTACACCCTGCTGACTGAAAAAATGATGCCAACATTTTACACAACCAGCTTGCCTGTGATGAGTTATCGCTGTTTGGCCCAGTGGCCCATGAAACATCACGTTCCCTCTCTCAGAACGTGTTGTTCCAGTGAACCTGCTGTTCAAAGACATCTCTTTACTTTGACCATCCTTTTTCAATTTTGTTACATTGTTAATGTTTTTAACTTATGTTTACCAATTGTACAGTTACACAGAGATGCTTCATGGCTTGAGTATTAGCTTGATTCATGTTATTAATTAATTAAGTAAAGAATTACTATATCTAGGTGGTAAATTTCTGAAAGTTTTCTTCAAAAGCACAGCAAGACTGAGCAGAACTATTAAGTTAAACAGAGTCAGTGTTCTTACTAGATAAGATACTTGGGGTGATCCTTACACTATGGAAATCCTCACCTATTTAATGTAATTGTAAAATGTATACTTATTGTTAATTGTAATAGTTATAAACACAAGCCCACTTTTGAAAATGCTACTGAAAAATGCAGAATAAGCTCCTAACGATATATGCCAGACACAGAAATAGGTCTCTGAATTTCCTCAGCTTGGTATTGAAGTAAACAAAGAAGAATGAAAATGACACAGAGAGTTTAATGTGACGACTATAAAAACTTCACAGATCACACTGCAAATCATTAGGATATTTTCTTCAAAACACAACCTATAACAGTCACCTATAGGGGCCATCAGGTATTCTAGATTTTAAGGTGAGGTTTCGAAAACTGGCTCTACTCTTAGATACTCAGGTTCACAAACAATAACCTTGTGTTGTGCATGTGTGTGTGATAAACACCCACCTAGAGGCTGCCTTACTGGAAGAACAGGAAAACACCAGGCATTTTATTATCCTACTAATCACAACGCAAACATGCCAATGTGAAAAGCACAGCATTCTCACCATCAATCCACAACACCGGTTATCCTGACAGGAATGTAAACACTAACTGCGCACCTACGTGAATTATGACGTGAATGCTCACCTGTTCCCCACTACAATCTCATACTTTCAGAGAATCAGTGTACTGATATGAACAATGTGTTTCACATTCATATTAATAGACTGATTCAGCAGTAAACTTTAAAATGTTTTCAGGTTAAGCTGTTTCTTCTTGTGCTTGATGCTTTACAGATATGCCAACCAACGCCCTCTTCATTGACGTGTACGCTTGTTACTCCACACAACAACAAGTACAACTCTTCACATCAACACCATGAAAGCCACGTAGAAAGCAAATCACCACCATAGGGTGTTTGATGTTGACACTGTTGGGTGTTTTACAAGGGGGTGTCAAGCCAGTTCTGGGCTTTCACAGAGGACAACTGCACATGCGATCACGGGAACTGGACACCTGGCGACTGTCCTCTTTAACACCTCCTGTTCCTGCAGCAAAGCAGTTACTCTGGGGTAGGGAGGTTGTGGTGCGTAACATTAGCCAGTAACCCAACGGGGGACCAAAGCATGTCACTCCACAAGAGGCTTTTTCATTTTTAATTTCAGCTCGCAGTGGAATCTTTCCAATTCAATAACAAACAAGCAACAACTACGGCCAGATTCATTTAAACAGTTCCAGTTTCAAAGGAGGGTCTGCAATGAATCATCCCTGCTTATGTAACTCACTCAGCCATTTAGGGTCAGTGAAAAACCTCAACTGCACTGTACCACTGCAGGCCATCGGCATTTACAAGAACGGCTTGCAGGGTTATCTTCTTTTAAGAATGCAACCTGCAGAAAAACCAACAAACAATAATACCACTGAACGATGACTGGAGGAAGGAATTGTCTTTTCTCAGCAAACTGCAGGCTAAAAGTATCCATTAATCATGCTGGGTTTGCAGACAACAGATAATGGAACTATCTACATGACAATAGTGTTTCTGCACGGCAGCATTCATTTCGTTTAACCTGCGCCATTTCCTGAATATCAATGCGTAGCTGGATGGAGTCGAGCGAGAAAAAGGCTCTTCAAACGTGAGACACGTTAAACCGAAGACTTCGTAAAGCCTACTTCCGTTATGCTTCACCATCCTGGATTGAACAAGGCTGGAAAAACTCACAGCCACGTATTTCCACAGACATTCCAACATAACAGCATGTAATACACAAAAAACCAGTACAGGAAATTAATGACAGGCTCTGAAATCTGCTGAGGGTGGGATTATCATTCGCTGCCAATCACGGACTTGTTAGACCATTTTCCTATTGGAGATGTTTCTTTACAGATCAACCGGTCAGCCAATGACAGCGACCTGTAGATCCACCCACATGACACTGACCATGTGGTACCCAATACTAACAGAAAGTCACACCTCAACTTCCACTATATTTGTGCCTGACTCATGTTGTGCCTGTAATTATGGAGCGTAAAACGGCAACCAGAGTGGTTCCATATCCAAAGGTCATCCAGGGTTAACCCACTTTAACATATTTTTTGGCTTTCTGACGGACCCAGTGTGAAAAACAAACAGCCATCACCGTGGTCCACACCATAATGACTTTATAGATGAGAATCAAACCCATACCCTCCACAATGGAAGCTTGTATGTTTTGATAAATTAGCCACAAGATGTCCATCTCCATCCCACACCCTTCGCTCCATGAACTCTTCCCTAGCATACTCTCACCCCTAGTATACTCTCACCCCTAGCATACTCTCACCCCTAGCATACTCCCACACTCCCAGGAAGCATCTCACACCATTCGAGCTCCTACTCAGGATACTGAAGGGACGTGCCTCACCTCCATGGACGAAGCCTAGCAGTGTGCAATCTGAGGGTCCTACCAGGTGGATCAGGCTGGACTGGCTGAACCCCACAGTGAACGTGCCTATGCCAGAGCACACACACAATCAGAGACAGGAAGACACTCATTAACAAAGAAAAGACCAAGTTAATTCATCAATGACTTCTACATAAATGATTTGACAGGACCAGCTACATATTTCAATGTATTAGATCATGCACAAATGAGAATTTTGGCATAGTCTATGTCATTTTCAGGGCTGAAATAAAAGAACTATATGGCCAAAACTATGTGGACACCAGCTTGTCCAACATCTCATTCTGAAATCAAGGGATTTCATATGAAGTTGTTCATATGCCATTGCTGTTATAGATTCTGCTCTCTGAAGGCTTTGCGTTAGATGGTGGAACATTTCTGGTACGATTTACCACCACTGAGGAAGGGTCTTGGTGTTGGGTGATCAGGTCCCTTTCTGTGAGTTAATGTCATCAAACGCTTCACAAATGAACTTGCTCCCAGACGTAATCACTTCACTTGTGACTGATGAGGGCATCTCTAGCAGGGCAGAAATGTGGTGAACTGGCTGGTTGGAAAGATGGCGTCTTATGATGGTGCCAAGTGGAAAGTCGGTAACCTATCCTATCCTATATAATCATCCATTCTGATGCGAATGGTTGTTGCAGATTGTGTAAATGAGTGCTTAATTATACACCTGTGTCAGCAATGATTGTGACTTAATTAGGCAACTCCGGTAATTAATAGGGGTGTCCACATATTTTGGGTCATATAGTGCATATTAAAATATATAAATTGTATGCACAAAACAACAAAAGTGTTTGGAAAATAAATATAATATTATGATTCTGCCTGTTTTAACCCATTTTTTTTAATTACAAAGAACACCTTTAGGGCATCGTGCCATTCAGTATGCTACAAATGCTTTACACAATATAAAACGTGTTGTCATGCAAATCAAGTAGGATTTTTTTTCAGTAGGAAAAACAAGAGACCCACCTTTTGTTTGTCTGTCTGTAAGGCGGGTAAAATGAAGGAAAAGAAAAATCAGCAGGAGAATTGAAGAACACGTCTGTGATTAGGATCTTCGCTCTGTGATTTTAACAAATGCATTCCTCTTGATGTAACTGGCACATTTAGTTAGTTGCCTGGACACCTGAAAATATACATTATAGTCTTCTTGGGCAGATACTGTGATTTTCCATTGCTGCTGATTGGTTGTGAGATTAGGATTCTGATTGGTTGAATGGCAACCTTTCACCTGGGCTGATTACAGGCCAGATCTTCTCCCCGTTCCTCTCCTTGGTCTCCAAGCGCTCCATCTTCTGTGCCTCGTAGCGCTTTTTCCCCTCTTCCTCTTGCTCCTGGTTGGTGTACTGAGGCACATACAAACACAACATTACATTTATTGACTTCCTGCACAGGACAGTATGACACCGCCTTTTGCACATGCAGAATTTTCTCTTTTTTTGCTGATTCAATGACATGGTCAGCTGTCCTGCGACTCGCTCTGCTGTTATGAATACAGCACCAAGCCAATCAGCATCCCTTCAAGGTCAAATTAGTTTATCTGACCAGGTATTTGTATTGTATCATGACAATAAAGTTGAGTTGGATTTAATGACTTTTGATCCATAATGCAACCAATGCAGGTTCCGAAAGCAAAACAGGCTTGAGGTACTGCAAAGACTGTGAGTGAGTACAAGGAATGATGGACTGTGTAGACATGCTGTGTGTCTCCCTGTGTGTCATTTATCTTACATTGTGGGGACCAAATTTCCCCACAAAGTTATGAATACCCATTTTTTTGATCTTATGGGGAGTCTTTCCTGTTCCCCATGATGGAAAACTCAATTTTCTAAAAATCCATGACTGCAATCAAAAAACTAAAAATGCAAAAAGCCTCTTGTATTTAGTTTGGTTAATTATGGTTATGGTTATGGTTAAGGTCATCATTGCTGGGATTAGGGTTTTTCCCATTGAAATGAATGGATAGTCCTCACAAAGATACAATTACAAACTTGTGTGTGTGTGTGTGTCTGTGTGTGTGGTGTGTGTCTGTGTAATGAGAGCTACACTATTCACCCCCTGTAGCTTATGGAAAACATAAAATAAACTTCTGTGAAGAAATAGCAGCCAATCCCTAGACCTCAGTCCTGGTCACCAACATTTCTCCGTACTTCCTTACATACTGCACGCACCATTCATACCAACTGCCAGACATTCGGGTCTAAGGGAATCACACCCATTATTCTTCATTTTCTCATTTTAAGATATACCTATTAGCTGTAAGCAGAGAGAAATAACTATCTTGCATTATTAAATTCTGTTTTAGCAGGACTCTGTTTTCAGTTATCAGAATTTATCGCCCCTTACGTGTATCTGTCACTGCAAGTTATGCATAATTAAATTAGAAAACAGCCCAGTGTGTCAAAGCAACACAGACCTCCCTGGATATGTAATTTCCAGTTGGTTTCCCTGCATTATTGCATGCATTCTTGCATCTTGAACTCTGCTGCTGAATAAGCTGCCATCAATTCCAGGTAATTTGTAAAACAGAGATCAATGTGGCATGAAGATGCTTGAGGCGATGGAGAAGTTCCCAAGCCTGATGGGGCCGTCGCTCACCGTTTGAAACTTAAGTGTGTCAGGAACAACTTTGTTGGGGATCCTCCCCCCTCCCCCAGAGCCTGGCACAGCCCTCTGGTGTCTGCCCACTGGATCCCAGGTTTACCACAGTACCGTCAGACGGTGTCAGCGAAGACAGCTCCCTGCGGCCGGCCGCTCACCATGCCGCACAGGAACTGCCGTTCGTATCCTCAGCACCCCCCTTAAGTATCACGTTTACCTCCAAGTCTGGATGTCTAAGAGAGATTCGAGAGCCAGCCCCGCATTTATCTATGGCCGGTTAAAAGGTACAGAGAAAATGAATTCTTAGGTCGTCCGTCTCATTTCATATTCCTCTCTGACATGCTCGCGTGCAAAGGGCTCGGCTTGGATGAAGTGGATTCTGAGAGGTGGGCATCTGCCAAGAAGGACGGGGAAGTGTTTGTGCAGTATTTTAGGAGTTAAAATTCAGGCTGGGATTAGGATGGGGGATGGGGGATTGGGGGAGGGATGGGATTGGGGGGGGATTGCCCAATTAAAGTGCAGCGATGGAAACATAATACATTTCCCTGCTAACGCTGCTCCTGCACAATCCCTTTCCTTTAAGGACAGTTCAGTTACACCGATTTATCTCTAATGGCCTGAAAATATTCTCCATTTACATCCATGTATCGTATTAATGCATGGTTCTGACTAACAGGGAAATCGTTTAAATATTTATTTACCTTAAAAGACCTATAGCTGAGAGTCCCCTCTGGGGTCGTGGGTTACACTCACCTTGAAACTGTTTTATCTTCTTCATACTGTGAATATGCGCATTTTCTGTTGCATTAATCCAGAGTAATGAGCTGTTTGGACTGTATGTCCATCAGCTGCCAGATTATCTGTCTTTGTTATCATACTTTACTCTAGTTGCAAATCTCAGGCAGCAGAGTGGCTTAGAGCAGCACAGCTGGTCCAAGTTTTAGCTCCCTGCCAGCCAATCCACATTTTTTCATCCCGGTAGGGAGCTGGGCGGGAGCAAAAATGTGAACTGCTGTGGGTCCCCAAGGACCGGATTGGGAAACACTGGCTTAGAGGGTAGTGCTGTTGCCTCACACCTCTGGGGCAGAATGTTAAAGTCCCATCTGGGCTCAGCGTGTGCAGCATGCATGCTCTCCCTGCTCTGTGTGGGCTTCCTCCCTTAGGCAAACGCATGTCTGTAAAATGCCGGTAAGGTGTGACTGTGGCACTGTTAAGAATCAGCAATCAGAAGATGGATGGACACCCCCACCCGTCCAGAAGATGTTTCGCAATGTAAATGTTATTTTATGCATTTTTGTACTACAGTTTTCAATACAGATTTATTGATTTGCATATTATGTATTAATCATGACTGAAAAAAGATCTTAGAATCTCCCAGTTTCAATAAAAAAAAACCAGTCAGCCACATTTAAAGAATTAGTTCTAAACGGGGGATGTCAAAAATGTCATTTTTTTACTCTGGAGAAAATACCAGATGGGCGATACTACAGATCTACTTTTTGATCCAATACCAAGTAATAGTAAAGTTGTGGCCAAACTAAAATTTAAAGGGGGCTGTTAAAATAAAATGAGCCTAACTGGTGGCAGGGCGGGGGTGATCATTTCTAGGAAATCATTTCTTTGATCGGCCAGAAACTAGGTGATCATTCTTCCCTTCCTTCCCTTTCCTCCCCCATCACGGTGAGTAGTTCATGGTTAGTAGTTCATGGTTAGTAGTTCATGTCCTGCTCCCTATAATTGTTAGAATTGTTAGAATTGATTCTAACGTTAAAATATATTTTTTTTTGTTACCTGAAAAGATTCAATTTTTCAGGTAACAAAAAAAAATATATTTTAACGTTAGAATCAATTCTCACATTCAGATAGAAAGATCGTTATTTCAGCATCGACATGCACATCCTTAGCAAAAAACACTCATAAGAACATAAGAACATAAGAAATTTACAAACGAGAGGAGGCCATTCGGCCCATCAAGCTCGTTTGGGGAGAACTTAGCTAATAGCTCAGAGTTGTTAAAATCTTATCTAGCTCTGATTTAAAGGAACCCATGGTTTTAGCTTCCACTACAATAGCAGGAAGACTATTCCATACTCTGACTACACGCTGTGTAAAGAAGTGCTT